TCCTCGCCCCGCGGGACTTTTGAAATCGCTCCTTTGCTCAGGAGCTCTGTTATTTCTGCCATCAGAGCAGATGTCTCTGACTGCGATGACATGACGGTCTCCAGCACCCCGCTGAAAGGAGGAGGGGGGCTGGCGAATTGGAGAGTGTAACCCTTCTTTATTAATCTCGCCATCCACTCGTTCATGGGCAGATTTTGCCACGCGCAGCAACGCTCTGAAAGCGGGCGAGCAAAAATCTGGGGGGCCTCTGTGGACATTTCTGACAGCCAGAGAAGAGCCCTCTCCGCCGCCGTGTGAGCTGCAGAGCCGCTCGACACGGCCCATGGGAGGGCTGAGTTGAAAGGGCTGCGGCGGCGATAGTGTGAAACACTCGGGCCGCTCATTCTCAGTGTCAGACTCGTGCCACGGTGAAAACCCTCCACTAACACACACTGAAGGGTGAGAGGTGGGGAGGCCGCAGAGAGGCAGGGAGTGCGGGTGGGCTGTTGTGTTTATCTGATGTGAATGTTTTTCACTCATGATAATATGAGAGAGGGACAACAGCGGCTCAACAACTGACGCAGCGTGTGCGTGCGCAGCGGAGCTTGCTTGTGTGTGGGAGACGTGCGTTTCATCAGCTGCAGGAAGCTCAGGAGAGAGAGGGGCAGGCTGACTGATAGGAACATGCTCTTTATGGACATTTGGTTGGCTCTGAAAAGAGCCGTTGTGTCCGGCTGTTCCGGGAAGAAAACACACGTCCCCCGCGTCCCGTCAATACCTCCGCTGTTTGCGGGGAGGCTCGGCGGGGGGGTTGGACCAGGAGCAAGCCGCTCGCCTGTTCTTGACTGCAGGGCGGCGCTGTGAAGAGGGAGCAGCGGCCGCCGGAGGAGCCCGGGGGGCCTCGGCTGGGGCCGGCGGAGGCGCAGCAGTGGCCGCGGGGCGCCTCGGCCTGGGGCGGGAGTCGCGGCGATCACGCCGGGAGCCCTGTGAGCGCCGTGGGTGTTGAAGGTGGCGCTCTGCTCCACGCTGTGTGCCGCTTCACCTTGTCCGCCGCGTCCGAAGCTTGCTGCATGTGTGTGATTGCATCCTGGAGGAGCGGCCCAAACAGCCCATCGGGGCTGATGGGGCCGTCCAGCAACTCCTTCCTGATCTGCTCCGGCAGATCGGACATGTGCAGCCACATGTTGCGTTGCAGCACTGTCATCCACGCCATAATCCGGGACTGGCCGACCGCCGCCGCTGTGGCGAGCGTCAAAATGGCGGCCGCGGCTTTCCCAAACTCGCTGGCGAGCTCGGGGGAAAGGGCGTCGGGCTGAGCAGCGACAGATGACATGGACGAGGCCAGCAGCGATATGTTGTTGATGGCGGCTGTTACCTGGGCGGCGCACTGGTGGGAGCGGTCCGTGACTCGAGCCGTTACCTGGTCGCGGGCAGAGGGCGGAGTCGGCTTCCTCCTGCCGAAAAAGGTGGCTTTAGGCAGCAGGATGGCTGCCAGGCTGGGCTCCAGAGGTGGGACAGAGGGAAAACCACGGTCAGTGAGGCCCTCGACCTTCGTGAAGTTGACGTACCTCGCCACCGGCGCCTTCAGCTTCCCAGGCTCGGCCCCCGCTTCGGAGAGAAAAGGCTGAAGCGGTGGAAAAAGGGGCCACACAGGAACCTGTTTGGAGGCTTGCTCTGGCTGGTAGATGTCGCCGAGCATGGCGCTAGGAGCAGGTGCAGGAGGCTCAGCAGGCATCGGCACGCCCTTGCGCTCAGCAGCCGTCTTTATTATGTCGGGGAGATCCCGGAGGAGAGCCCCGCAGGACGGCAAGCTGGAAGGCGGAAGTGGAGCAGGAGCCAGCGACGCCGCCTTCTCATCCAAGTCAAACTCCAGATCTTCCAGCGGGAAGAGGGGAGAGCCTGGCGGGGAGCCAGCAATGGAGGGAGCAAGTCAGAGGACTCGAGCCCTGCATCGCCAGCAGTCCCGCCGGCGAGGTCCGCCGTGAAGCTAACTGGCTTAGCCCAGCTAGCTTCGTCGTCCTCCTCCTCCTGCAGGGCCGCGAAGGCGTCGACCCGCCGTCGCTTCTCCTCCACGGGCAGCTGTGCGCAGTAGGGGCACGAGGCCCGGGGAGTCAGAGCCAGGCCAGCGTGCTGGGGACCGAGGCAGGTCTCGCAGCGGGCGTGGAGATCAAACCCCATGATGTAGCCGGCGTGGCAGGACGGGCAGAGGCGGACTCCTTCCGAGCGGCGGACCTCAACGGTAGAGCGGTGAGTAGCCATAGGAAAAGCTCTTTAGTCAGGAAAATTGCTCTTTAGACGCTACTCTGCTCTCCGAAGTGACTGCTATGCAGCGCTGAAGAAAAAAGGGGAGCAGATCTCTGGTCTCGCCGGTATTATATACCTAAATTGCGGACCTGAGAGAGGCCCGTGCACGGCACATGGGCGCGAAAGAAATCTTCAGGACTGCGCATGCGCGCGGGGATGAACCCAATAGCGACAGCTCTTAGAGGGCGAAGCCTATACGAAATAGAACTATGCATCACACACAAATTTTTTTGTAGAAATGTGTCCTAAGAAGTAAGGAACAGACTCTTCAAACAATAATATAATTTAGACTTTCTGTGTGTATATTTTGTTGTTTCAGCTGGCTGCTGGCTACAGCTTCTTAATTATTGTACAGACATGAGAGTGAAAGAATCATCTTATCTAACTCTCAGCAAGAAAGTAAATTAGCCTATTTTAATGTTGAAATAATAATTTTTATGTGCATCAGCTGCTGCTTCCATAATTGGCTTTTAACAGAAAGATTTGTTTTTTCACAAAATATCTTTGAATGCAAAAAATGACAGCTTCAACCTTCTTTAATTTAGTCATAATTGACTGAGTAAGATTAATGTGGCTCAGTTAAAAATGAAATGTTAGCACACAGCCAAAGTTACTTTAAAAGAAACCTTGTATACAGTTACAGTGAGTAAATTAAAAAGAAGGGGGTAAAAACACAGCGTTTGTTTACAAATATATTTTCATCTTTATCAGCTTTTCCTCTTTTTAACATCCAGTACACACAGTCCACTGGTCCACATTGTTCAGCTTCAGCCCAGTCAGAGTGGCAGGACTCTTGATTCAGCTCCCTCCGGTGTCACACACCTGTTGGAGAAAAGACAGCACACACACACTATAGTCTGACTCCCTCTACAGGTAAACATGTAGAAAAGCACAGAATACACCTTTTGAGCCTAAGACCATATTGTTGGTGGTACTGAGAGTCAAAGACAAACACATGGTTGTGTTATTATGTCAATCGAAAGATTGAGAACAACACCACAACATAATAAGGTGAGATATATTCCTATATATACATTGTATATTTACATAGAAAATACATTAAATACACAGTGAGTATGTGTGTCCTTTTGCACTTCCATGCTGATAAACATTTTGCCTTTTATCATTTGCTGCTATGTCAAAACTTGCACAAGTCAAATAAATTGAATATGACTTGGTATCAAGTCAGCAGAATCCCACAAATCGTCAGAAACAGCGTGCCAGTGTTCTGGCTTTAACCTGGACTTTTATTATGTCAAATAAATAGACAAAGTCTAATCATGCAGAACTTCTCAATATAGTAAAAGTTACAAAGCACTTTAAAAAAAGAGGAAGGGTGAATTTTAAAAGTCAGAAAACAGCACATAAAACAAGGACGCCAACTTCATAAATCCCAAAGTATAATGTTTTTAAATCAAGAAAAAGACAATTAGTTGATTTAAAGTCTAACAGAAGTCAGTTTGTTTGACTTGTGTGTACTTATTTGGTCCAAACTGCACTTGCCAAAAAAAGACATATATGTATAAAATTATTGAAATTATTGCCTAGACTTTTTTTTCAGTAATATGGCAACAACTTCATCATCTTTTTTAAAAATTTAAGAAAAAATTATTATGACTATCACAAAAAGAAAGAGACTTGGAAGTAAATATGACATTAAAGTCTTACTGTGTTGTCTTCAAACTCGTCCTGACGTCTTCCAGCGGATTTTGAAGTCACTGATCCCCTTGCTTTTCATCTTTGCCTCCAGCTAGGAAGCATTCACAAAAATCTGTTTTATATTTCTCATAACTTTAATAATGAGCAACTTGGATATTAATAGATATGGCTCTTATAAACTAATAATTACTAATTGCTTCATCATAACTACTAACACTGTTACAGGGGTCTATTATCAGCATTTGGAATTCCTATACATAAAATTTTAAGATGAATAAGTTTTACCTTCCACGCCATGCCCTCTCACAGTGATAGACTTTACGAAGGTACATATGACACAATATCCCATTAAAATTTCTCTTTCTCACCTGCTTTAAGATTTGTTGTTGGATGACCGGGTCACTCATGTCAAAGTCAGTGCTGATTTTCACAACAGATCTCTTCTTAAAGTCTGAAAAATGGTTGCTGATGTGATAGCTGGCATTTTGGCAGCATTATGTAATGTAATATTTTACCATACCATTTATTTAGCATGGTTCACTTTACTGATGAAAAATTGTTACAAGAAACATCACTATTGACAGTTTTTTAAATCATAAACTGTAATGACCACCACTGCAGCTGATGAAGCAACTGCAGCCTCAGTAACAAACATATCAGGTTTTTTGGCACATTCGGTGGCAAGTTTTTTTTTTTTGGCCGGTATCTTCCCTTTACACTTCTGACACAAGAAACAGAGGTCAGGGAGGGGGGAGGGAAATAGAACTAATGGGCAGCTGACCGTGCTTTATGGGCCAGTCGTCAGCCTATTTTTTAAACAATTGTATAAATAAGTAATTTTTAAATTACATCAGCCCCATTTGGCCTGGTATGCCAGATTACCAGTCCACCCCTGTGTACCTGAAACAGGGTTAGGTTTTGCTGTTGTTTTTTGTTGTCATGCCTTTTGCTCTTTCAACATGAGATGCCCAATGAATAAAGGGAAATGCTCAGTTCCCATAGGCAGACCACCCTGTGGCATAAACATTTTTTGGTTTAACTGGGAAACATTTCATTCTTCATGATGTGTGCAGCTTACCAAGCACATACACCTGTACTTCACAAAGTGTCAATTTCTTCTGTAGTCCAGGAAGAACAACATGGACAAAGCGACCTTCCATTATTCCACACTGGTAGTTGTATTTGCTCTGTCCCGTTGCAATGGAGATGATGGCACACCTGAAATATAAGAAAGCGATAATCAAAGGCTGATAAGTACTAGTACTTCTACAGCAAGTAAGTACTCTTTTCTTCCTGCACCTCTGGTTGCTGGTGTCATTTTTGAGACCGATGCGGATCTCAGCACCGTCCAGCTCCTGTGAGCAGCAGTCGCTGATGCTGGTGACAGACACAGCTGTTATTTTGTAGATACTCCTCAAGTCCAGTTGCCACCAGGGGTTGTCTTGCAGTGGAACTGAAGCACAGGTGCTTTGTGGATCCTTCCCACTGTCTTCATCAATGGCCATTTGTGGAGCTGTTGCTGCAGAAGCTGGTTCTCCAGACTGTGTGGCTACTCCTCTCAGTGCCACATTGGCTGACAGGCGTGCCATGAAGTCAGTTATGAAATACGTATGAGTAAGAACCAGTTATAAATTCATTTGGAGAAACAGCACTTACTGAAGACTAAAGTACAGTTCAACAAGGCAAAGTGTTGAGAAATTTCACTGGATAACTTAAAACATCAAATATTCATTAGGATACATCCTCTCAGGGTCATGAATGTGTGTGCAAAACCAACTGAACATGCAATTTAAAATACAGAAACTTGAGGGTTATCAATTGAATAAATGTATAAGCTGTGCTCAGGGCCGGTCCTGACAGTGTTGGGTTGGAGCCCTAGGCAAGTATTTATATTGGCAACCCCCCCTATTGGAAATACCACATGCCCGAACAGTTCTGCAGGCAAACACATGAAAAGCCAAGTCAATAATCGTCCAGACAATAAAGGCTAAATTATGAAACCAAACCTAACCAGGTATTTGGGAATGTTCCCCTCAGAAATTATGTACTGTATCAAACAGAGATTGTTTTCCTTCATTATACTTAATTCATGGGGAGCATTGTTTGTAGAAATGCAAAAGCATAGTTTTTATTTGAACACTGGAGGGGACCGATTTTAAGTGGGGTGTCTCGGGGGACCTCTCCCTTAAAATTTTGAGCATTAAACATTTGTTATGTGTCCTGTACTGTACTTTGCTTCACTTTCACTTTTTCACAAATGTATGTATAACTGTGTTGTATGTTTTTCTAATGGACCCTGAGTCTGACAATAAAGTTGAAGTGAACTGAACTGAACAAATATTACTCTGATATAAAAAAAATAGATATGTTTTGATCTCCAAAAAAAACTTATCTTGCATATGCTGAAAACTTCAGCAGGAAGTTAAACGTGGAGAGACCTTATTGAATGGAGTTGTTTTGTAAATCTAATTATCAATAACACTAAAAATAAATTTGTTTAAACTATGTTCACGCAGGAAGCACCACATAATTGAATTAACTATAGATGTCATTGCTCAGTGTTGCATTACTTCCAGTAAGGGTTGCAGTGGCGTACAC